ACAGTAGTACTGTATAAACCACCCATATAAATATGATTAAGACCGTGGTCAGTCTTGCTAGATGGAATGTATACCGACCACGGTCGTATGATTATGACCGTGGTCAATCTGGCTAGATACTGTGGAATGTATACCGACCACAATCGTATAATTATGACCGTGGTCAATCTGGCTAGATGCTGTGGAATGTATACCGACCACAATCGTATAATTATGACCGTGGTCAATCTGGCTAGATGCTGTGGAATGCATACCGACCACAATCGTATAATTATGACCGTGGTCAATCTGGCTAGATGCTGTGGAATGCATACCGACCACAATCGTATAATTATGACTGTGCTCAATCTGGCTAGATGCTGAGAAATGTATACCGACCACGGTCGTATGGTTATGACCGTGGTCAGTCGGGCTAGATGCTGTGAAATGTATACCGACTACGGTCATATGAGTATCACCGTGGTCAATCTGGCTAGATGTTGTTGAATGTATACCGTATGGTATGAATATGACCATGGTCGAAAACCTGGCTGTCACCAGGTTTTGACCGAACTCCACACAAAGAAGTTTGCCGATTCTGTTCTCAGACAGTGCGCCTTAGCATCGACCTCTGCTGCGACTCGGTCGATACTTCCGCTGTTGTGTCTTCGTGCATACTTTGAGGTTTCCTTGTAATAACCTCATATTTTTTTCACCAAAAAATAATGGTGACAAGAAGACAGAGTTAATAAGTTAAAACTATTGAGGGACACATTTGAAGACATTCGACACTTTTGAAGTCGTATTAATTCGTTCTTTTTACGAAAATTAATGTGACATGAAGTCAAGGTCGTTAAACTAAAACTATTAAGGGACATCTTTGAAGACATTGGGACACTTTTGAAGTTATTTTATTTCGTTCTATTCATGGTACTTGAAGACATGGAACACGTTCATAAAACCATAGATTTTAAGTTATTAAAGTAAAGCCATGGAGGCCCTGCGACACTTTTAAAGACATGGGACATATTTATTTGTTATAAATTAATGTTACATGAAGTCAAAACATGCTATTCATTATACTTATCAGCAATACTTGTCTCAGTGCCAATACTATTATTAAAAACGCAGGCGCGCAACCGAGATGTACATACCAGTTTAATATATTTTTTTAAACAATGGGTATTCTGTCAGGATTTGATAATTGCAGTTTTAATACAATAAATTGAACTAAGGAGTCCTCCAAAGGATATTCTAATACCCAAATTTATCGACGTAATTCAAAGTGAAGATTGGGAGGTGAGGCGAGTTGTGAGTATGCCAAGTTTGTGTTATTACCCATGACTTTCTATGTTAAAAAAAACAATTGGAAATAAGGAATCTGATCTCAACTATAGAGGGCTTCAATCCAAACAGAGAGTCATATTTTTAAGAATGTGGTTTGATAAAAAGATAATACAAATGAAATAGTGCAACACATACAATTACAAATGGAAATTATTTATTGTAATTAAACAACACTTGATGGAAGTACTCCAGGTACAAATTTGCCGAAAATAATTAATAATTCCAATACATAAACAATGACATATATTATAATTCGAATTAAATACATTAAATTGAATAATATTTTTTAAAAAAAAACACACACTACACATTAACACACAATATCGCAATTCTGCATAATCAGGAACATCGCATACGCTTATATGCTAAAATAAAATAAAAGTACCCCACATAGAATTTAAACTAGAAATTATTTATCTAATTAAAGGATACAAATTGACCGTTTTGCTGAGTTTACGGAATTACTCTAGGTACAAGTTTGTCGGAAAAAAAACTTCATTAATAATTCCAATACTTAAACAATGACAGGTCCTATCATTTCAAATTAAATAAATTAAATAATCGAATTCTCTAAAAACACACACTAAATCCCCCCCCCCACACACACACTTATCATAGTAATACTACCAACGCGTAGTTTACGGAATTTTTCCGTGCCTAAGC